ACTATAAAAACTTAAATACAATATTGTAATTACTGAAACCGAAAAATGTATTCATGTTTTACACTTCGTAAAACAAAAATTATATTATTTTAGTATGTCCGTCCACCTATTTAAAGATGCTGACGAAATGCCTGGAGAAACTGTGCCAAGTTTTACAAAATCGAATTGGGAGCAACAGACGAAAGTGCATGAAATTTTCAAAATGTAAGTGACATTCTCGAGAATCGTAAAGCGTTCTATTTCTGTAGACTGAGACTCCGCGTGGTGGCATTTTTCGAACAAGATCGAAAGATAATTTAAAATAGAAAAATTAACAATTCAAATTATGTATTGTTGATGTTTTATCATTACATGAGAAATGGAAGTAAATGTTGAGGAACTTATCTATTGACATGAGAAAAATAAATTACTTAATGAAAACTAAAATGTTGTTTTCTAATATGTTAAATAGCTATTATGATGAAATCAATAGTCAAAATTTTGTTAAAAATTAGTTTAATTAGGAAAAAGGTTAGAAAACCAATTGTGATAGCAATCAAAGCAAAGAAGCTCAGATATATCTGATAATGTAAAACAAAAAAGTTACATTACGTAGTTCTGATTTGACTGCATTGTTTTACTAATAATATATGTCACGTAGCATTATCATCAAAGACATCATCTCTAAACATGGATCATTTAACAATCGCTAAATTTCTTAAAATTGTGAAAACTTACTACAAAAATTGTGATAAGACTCATTTTTCGATTGATGGATAAGTTAGTAGTGAAAATCCACAACTAAATATCAAGAGACATGTTGTCTTTTGACATTGGCGGTCTAATGTGGTACGGTGTGGTCTGGCATTTGAACTGGACGTTTGACAAACTTGTACTTTTTTGAAAATGGCAAATATGAAACACAAATCGTCGATTCTTATTACTACATCCACACAGTTGGGTTTATTTTGTTACCAGCTTTAATGCGTTTCATAAAGGCGGTGCCCTTAGAATCTTGAGGAATGATGTCTTTGTTGGACAAAATCGAACCATTTTTTTACAAAGAGACTTATATGACATGTCTGCCTATTTCGACAATTTAAAAAACGTTTTTCTGACATCGATAAGCATCGTCGTCCTTTGTCGTTAAAGATCGGACAGAATGACGAAAATCAACTATTTATCATAGGTCTTCTTTAATATTTTAAACAGTTCGGCCCACAAGATTTTGTTTGAGTCATAAGACTTAAGGTCTTTTCTTTATTCAACTAATTTTTCTATCGTGAACAAAGCAGAATACTCAAGTCTATAATTGCAAGAACAGCTGATGTCAACACATTGAATAACACATGGGATCGCATGGTAACAAAATCTTCGAAATCTTGCATGGAAACAGAGTAAGATCAGAATAAAATTATAATAATAACATACAATTTGTTTAGATTAAAGCAAAAACAAAAACTGCATTTAATGGGGAACTTGCTCAGCATTATGAATAACTTTTTCGAATTTTACTCCTAACATATAGTATATATATAGTATTATTTTTGATAATAAAAATGTGTGAATAAATAACAATTCCATATCGTACAACGTAAAATATTGTTAACATTTGCGAAAACTGCAAAAATATATTTTTTTTAAAAAAATAATAAGAATAACACACAAATGAAATAAAATGACAAAAACAATTATACGAACAAACTGTTTACATATTTCAAATTATTTGCATCACGGTTGTTGGTCATTTGCATCACAAATGCTACGTATATGAAATCAACAATGAGATTGTAAAAATATAATAAAAAAAGCAGAAATTCAATATTTTTTAATTTTAATTATAATTTTCCGATAAAATTATTTATTTTCTTAGCATTGGCCGTAAACGCAGTCAGCATTTTTTTCAAAGTTACTCATACGCCCCAGCACACATATGGTTACGATTTCACAAGAATTATATATGTTGTCATATCATCGAAATTTATATAGTATATTTAACAAATTGCATATATTACAAAAGCACATAAGTTCTGTATTGTAAACTGTGTTTGAATATGAAAATTAAAAGCGTATTAGTTTTATTTTTAATAAACACCAACGGTAGAGATATATGAAGTGGCAGTAGGAGGCAAGAGATTTAGAGCAAGACTGCATCTTCTGTGAAAACATCAAATGAAGCAAACTGAAAAGAGGCGATTGGAGACGAGTAAAGGCCAGATGAGTAAATGTTTGGTTAGATAGCTTGAGTTATTGTGGTAGTAGGACTAGTATTTCAACTCATCTAGACCCTAGGAGTCCATTGTAATACGACAGCTTTACACGGAACCTTAACTAATTTTATTTATGAAATCATCTTAAAACCATTAAAAAACAGAGAATAGCAGAGAAGCTGGAGAAATTCGCTTTTATATTAAGAGCTAGGAAACTACAGCATACATACTATATTCCACTACTATTCGACACTACTCATAGTCTTATATTATGCCTGACAATAGTCAGTGAGCGATTATACAAATCACGCCGTAACAATTATCCGTTTTTGGAAGTTTGCTCCTTATTTTGATTTCCTGCTTCTAAGTTTCGGACACATGTCACTAGACGTACACTCATTCTGGAGCTGTTGATCTTTTGAAGGACACTATAAGATTCAAACTTGTTTTGGCTACCTGGTCGGCCTTTCAACAACAATTCTCAAATAGTTTAATTAAACTAATACGTATACTTCTTCGCGTTTAAATTATTGAAAACAAAACTTATTGTATAGTATTTCGTTATTGATAGTGTAATATCGTGTGAAAACATATTTATTACTCGTATATATTCTTTGAATTTATAATTCTTATGTAGTTTAATTACAAGTTAGACTATGTGGTATTTTCTGCGTGAAAATATCTTATCTTGTATATTAAATATACTATTATTGTACATATTCATTTATTATTTTAGCTTTTTTAAAATATTTTAAAATAAATTTTATATACCCAAATAAATAATTTTTTATAGGTATTCAGTACTACTCTCCTTACATATATAGTTAATAAATTTATTTTATTTATAACGTGACTACAGATTTTCTGCTCCTATTTTGTTACCAAAAATATAAATGAATACATAAATTAAGTTCTTTGACCCAAATTTACTTAAAGACCACAATGAATAACACAAAATTTCTTTGTCATCTTTGGTGGATTTTGAGTCAATTCCTTTGATGATGGTCGTGTGCGTATGCATGAGTAGAGGAGTGGCTCCACACGGTTTGTATTATTGCGCTGTCTTCTTAAAAATTCATGTCGCATATTATTTTTAATTTAATTATTTTTTAAAATAAAAGCACATATTTAAAAAATCATTATATATATATATAATATATTGGAATTTAAATAATTTCTTTTAAACAAATTTTGTTATTTACTTGCAATTTGCTGAAACCATTTTCCTAAATGACTATTTACGATATATAAAGTAAATAATAAATTATTTTATTAACATTAATTAAAAAATTAACTGAAGTAAAATTTTAAGTTATAATTTATGAAAAGTGGCAATATGCACATATAGCGTCGCATTTCTTTGGTGGCCACACTCACTTCAGAACTGTTAGTTGAAGCGTTGGAATTGTTTCTGAGCGATTAGAACTCATTGTATGGTTAGTAGATAAATTCATTCTGATGACACATACAAAAAAATATCTTTACTGCGTATTTAGATTTGTTTTTTGCCTTATATTTTGTAATTATGATACTACTTATATATGTACATTATTATACGTGTACTTATTCATATATTGTTGTTTGGAGCCATAGCCTATATAAGCGAATTTCACAACAAGAATGTAGGAATTTAACAATCTCCGAAAGAATATCATTTAAATATCTTAATTTTTTGTATTTGAATATAAATTATACAGCTACATAGGTATATATATTAATAATTATGATGCACTAAAATATATATTTAATATTAATTTTTATATAGTTAATATGGACTATATTATTGTTAAAATAGAGAAATATAAGCTTCATACATATTTCGTTTATTAAGGATCTACACTACTATATATTCCACCTATGGTGACAGCATGAAAACAAGACAGGCGCGAGTAAGAAGAAGTCAATGTGAGAAGAAGTGTGACGTAGGAAAATTTTCGTAAAAATACAAAGCGGGTATTACACATCATTCCTGGCTAATTTGCCGGGCGCATTAAATGCGAAATTTATATCAAATCTCATGTGTAATAGCAACATTTTCAGGAATATTATTGTTATTTTTCGTCAGTGGCAGTGCATGATGTGAAATAGCAAGCAACATCACGCCAAGCAAACAAGCTAGGCATTATGTGAAATACCCGCTTAATTCAGGGGTTTAAATCTACAGTTTAAACCGTAACGGATACATTGTGGTTACTGAAAATATGGATGGAACATTTTTCTAAACAGCTACTTGGCTTAATTGTTAGTACTCAATTGTAAAAATGTGGATGGAACAGTGGATGGAACAGTAATCGCACTTGATAGATGAAACTGAACTAGCATGGAGTAGCTGGAGTATGAAGTAGAAAGGCCTAGATAGGAGTGCTCTCTCAGATCTGTCGATAACAAGCAACGGGTTGTAAGTGCCACTTAAATATGTAAGTAACCATTATATGTAAATGGTTACTTACTTACTTAAGCACTTACATCTCGTTGCTTGTTATGGATCGATCTGAGAGAGCAGTCCTCTTCAGACCTTTTTGCTCCATGCAGCTAACTAATTCAGTTTCATCTATATGTATAATCAAAAGTTAATTTATAAATTGTTATAATGAGTTTAGTGAATTCTACTCCTTTAGTGTTCACTTTATAGAATAGCGAAATTATTATACAATAAATATTTTTTATCATTCCAAAAAAAGTTAAAAAAACGTTGTCTAAATAATATTTTACAGAGCGACAGTGACAATATATCTAACACCATCGCTGTATTGACATTTTTCACAAAAAAAAGATTTTTAATAATTTTTTTTTTTAAATTAAAACACTTACCATTTTGTGAGTAATGTGAAACCTACTGCAGCTACTCCAAGCAGCAGCGAATTTCGTAGTTGTGTCGAAAGTGTTACCATTTTTGTTTTTTGTTTTTTCACCAAAATTTTCGAGATTTAGATTGATTAATCCGCTTTGATTTCTTTTTTTTTTTTGTCAATGTTTATGAAAATATGTTTATTTGAGACACTTTAAGGTATATAAAATATAATCATAAAAATAATACACAATTTTTTTCACGCGATTTCTGCTTTGTCACCACAGTATCTAAAAAAAAAAAACGAAAAACATACTTTATTATGAATGAAAGGCAACAACCAATTGAAAAACAAAAACAAAATGTGTTCAGTTGTGCAATGAAAATGGGGAGGAAGAGGGTGGTGTTGCCAAAATGGCAGAGATAAATGACACAAAGGAAGTTGTTCACCGTCTTCTGCAGAATTTACGTTTCGCTTTCTATTTTTTTCTTTTTTTCTTGGTTTTGCTGATATTAACAATTTTGTAATAGTGTTAATTTTATTTTTCTTCTATTGTGGTTGTGTTGTTATTGTTATTATTGTGACTGCGAAAATGAAAATTGAAATATTGTGTGGCATTTTACCAAAAACGCAATAACCGAATATTTTTAAATAAAATAATTGCAGCATTAACACAAGAATTGTATATTTTTATTAAAACCGAAAACGCAATTTTTTATTTTTTCCTGTCATTAGTTTAGAAATGTTTTATTCTATATTTTTTTTTTTTTAATTTAAATTTTTTTAATCAACAGTTAAACACATTTACGCATTTAAAAAACAAATATGAGATTTTAACTGAATTCGAAAAGATTCCCTACACCAAAATCTAACATTGTTTTTCGTATATTTTTTGTAGTTTGATGTATTCCTGATTAACAGATTGTCAAATATATTGAGGAAGGACTAAAAAGGACAAAGACCCACGCACAGCGGCAGGCAGTTAAAGCAAGTGGAAGAGTAAAAGAGCGCAAAATATGCAAAAATAAGAGCATAGAGCGGAAAATCAGTTTCGTTTGAAAGTAACACAAAATAACAACAATTTTAGGGGTAGAGAACTGAGTTTGTGTAGTTTGTGTAATTGTTTTTGTTCTTATTTTCCGTTTTTATATTTAAAATGGTGAGCAGCTTAAGTTTAGTATGTGTGTGTGTGTGCTAAGTCCTTTAGCGGCTGCAGATGGTTTAATACAAATATATGTATCTGGAAAAACCCAGGGTTACAAATATGTATTCAATTTTACTTCCGAAACGAATAAATAAAGAAAAACCGAGGCCGTTTTTGAACAAATATTAGAGCTTAAAAATTTTCGAAGAAGTAACAGAGATTTGGATAAAATTTAATTTAATACTCCGAAAAAACCGAAGATTAGCTGTTAGCTGTAATCCATTAGGTATATAGATAGCGGCATCAGGTATCCCGGCTGATGAACTAATTGCATATGCCACATTGTTTTTTCACGTTTCTGTTGTACATACTTATTACCTTTACTATGCTTTGTTTTTCGTATTTAATCAGGTATTCAAAATGCTAGAAAAACGATTATACATACACAAACACACACATGTGAGCTCATATTTTTCTACCAACAATTATAAAATCGAAGCAAACTGTCCAAACACAACCGAAAAAAAAAAAATAGAAAAACAAGTTTATCTCAACACTTCCTTATGAAATCTGAAGAATGAAGAATTTTTTTATTAAGAATTATTATTGTTACAAAAACAAATCAAAACACTAAATTCTGTTGCTAAATTAAGCACATGTGTATATTTGAATTTGTGAAGCTTTAAGCTGTTGAGGGAAGGAAGGGACTGAGACGTTGCAAAGTTTTTACTTTCAAACGCTCTGCTCTGTTGGTGTATTTTAGCCTTCACAAAAAGTTTCGGTTTTAGGCAATTGCGTCGCAAAAAAAAACTAAATAAATAAACAAAAGTTCAGCAGCAAAGTCATATAACTACAACAACTACACAATAACAACAAATATAATATCTCTATATAATTTTAAATTATTTTCATTTGAATATTGTTTATGAAAAATTGCCAAAAATGCCTTACGTATTGTTTTTTTTTATTGCTTGTTAACGCCAAGCAATGTTTTGTACAAACATTTTCTAACAAAATTTTGCAAACAAAAATTTTTGCCTTTTTTGCATTTAATTTATACATAAAAAAGTGGCGTGTTTTGGTTTTGCAATTAAATTTCCTTTTTGTTTATCACTGCACAATACACAATCGCTGACGAGGGGAGAGATGTGTGCACTGGCCTTAACTTGAATGTATACACATTATATTTATACGTTTTTTACTCTAAGGAAATCATTCATAATTATTATTATTTACTTTGATCATTCTAATAATTACTTTGCACAACTTTCCACTTTGTTCTTGTTTTTCCTTTTTTTATTTATTCATAAAAACATTTTGTTTTCTATTTGTTGTATTACACGCACCAAGCAAATTCAACCGCCGTCCCACTACTTCAATCTTCAAAAATTCAAATGAAACTAAATTGTTTTTGACCTTTTGCTATTTCCCATTCTTAACAATACACACTTCATTTTATTTCTTTCTTTCTTTGTTTTGTGTACGATTTGACAGTTCATCAGCAGCTGTTTTAGAAAATTCGCAAACTACAAGGTGGCGCTCACTGTAAATTGTCATAATCTATGTTATCGATTACATTAGAAAAATTCAAAATTAATTATTATAGTTATATATTCTTACCTTTTCTATTCCAAATTTATATTTATATTTATTTATTTATTTATTATATTCAAATTTTTTAATAGTGATGTACTATTAATATTCAAATAGTTAACATATTAAGTTTTCTCACTCAAATCTAGTTTAAATAATAAACTAATAGCCTGAATGCTCTTATTTTCATATTTTTTGGTATATTAATGAAAGTGCATTTATTTCGCTGATTTTGTTTGTTCTCCATAAAAATTAAAACAATTTGCTGTGTCTTAAAAATGTTATCAGACCTATTGCTTCAATATTACTTAAACTGGTAATTTCACATATAAAATTTATATATAAAAGTCCATTAGTTTAATATCTTTATATCGTGTTTACATTGAGATTATAGGAAATAGATTAGGTATCTCTATATCTTTAATTTATACTATTCACATTATAGATTGGATTGAGATTTACTAAAAATATGCCTTTCTGTAGATAATTCATGTTACATATAAATATATTCCTCCTATATACTAACCAATTTATGTTGTAAATAATCCAATTAGGCTTTTTTTAAAATAAAAATTTAAAATAGAATAACTAGATCAAAACTTTAATAACAATAAAATCTTTAACCTACTGTGAATCTCAGTGTACAATATAACAATGACTACATTAAAAGATAAAGTACGAGCTAGAAAAAAAGCCTATTATAGCTTAAAACGACTAATTACAAGTAATATAATATTTCGCAGAAAACAAAACTAAAAACGTACAAAACATTAATTCGCCCCGTAATAACACATATCTGCGAGACATGGTGATTAATTGAAACTGAATCAAGCAAGATGGCAGTGTTTGAAACGAAAATACTCGGAAAATTTTTTAGCCACGTGAAAGAAAACGGGATGTATCGCATAAGATACAACCACAAGCTAGAACGGCTAGCTGAAGCTGATACAATACAAAATTTATGAAAAAGCAGCTGTTAAGATGGGTTTATCACTCATTTGCTAAGAATATCGGATATGAGAGTACCGCTTAAGATTTATGAGAACGAAGTAGGAAGCAGCGGAAGAAGAGGGCGACCAAGAAAACGATGAAAAGACAGTGTGTTGCAGGACTTAGAAGAAATGAACATAAGAAATTGGAAACATAAGCAAAAAACAAAAAAGAAAGGAAGGCTTAGATCCTACATGGACTATATAATCACGGATGATGATGAATCTCACAGTGTAAACTTACATATTATTAGATTAATATAATGTTATTTCAGAGTTTAAATTGTCTCTGAAGTAAATTTTATAATTACACACAAAATTATTTTTAAAATAAAATAGCTTATTAATTTTTTTTAAAGGTCAAATACACAATCCTTTTATGAAGGACTATTGTGAAAATGTAAGGTCTGCCGCATTGCCATTATGAAACACTAAAACTATAACCATAACCAGGTTTCCGAATTGTCAGGAGTCTTATAGAATATTGAAGAATATTTCTTTTTTTGGATACTGTTCCTACAATTCATATGTTTTTCGGATATAGCAATTTTATATACAGTTTCAGGAAAGAGTCTATTTTATTCTTAATTCGACAGCCATAATAAATTAATACATTAAAAACACAAAATAAAAATCAAACAATTTAGACTTAGAATATTAAAATTTTATTTCATTGAATTGTAAGCGATACACAGAGTATTTGAATAATTTACTGTTAATGCTACTAAATATTAAAAATTGTAGAAAAATTGTTTATGCATGTAGATTGAGAAGTAAATTTAGATAATTAATTTATATTCGCCTTTAAGTATTATATATTTATTTAAATGCGTTACGCCAAAAATTTTGAACTAACACCCATTGAGAGAATGAAATAATAATAATTATAATAATAATACTGCTTATAAAATAACATTTTGATTATTAGATACTAAATTATTCACATTCATAGTTAGTACAACCTTTCGAAATAATAATTTTAACTTATAATTAATTTTAACGTAGAAGCCACCCAAACTGTTATAAGTTTCAAACTGTTATATTTTTATAATTTTTTTAATTTGGAGCAAAAAATTCATTATAATTTATTGAACTGTCAAAAAACAAACACAGCAATAAAGATATGTTACTTTTAACTTATTAAAAACTATAATTATAAAACTGTTATAATTTTTTTTAAATTGAAACTAAAAATTTGTTAAACTAATTTTGAACTGTCAAAAAAAAAAATGTAAATGAAGATATATTGCTTTTAATTTGATTTTGAGTTTTTATAAATAAAAAAATTATTAATTTTAATTTTCTGGATTATTATAACAGTTTAGCTTAAACAATATTCTATTAACCAGTTTGATTTTATAAATATTAAGCGGCTGATATATAAATATAATAGTTACTGTTTCATGCTGAGATTGTTTGTTTATACAATCGTATTGCCAAAATATTGGTGGGTGATTTTTATAATTAAAATTTTTGTTGTTTTAAAATATTTTTTAAAAACGTTCATGTTAAAAAAGTAAATAAATTAAAAAGTATGTGCAAAGAATATATAATTCTATCTAGTGATTTATTTATTAACACCGGAAAGAGTGAATAGTAATATAATAAAAGTCTAACACTCTTTCTCTAGTAGTCTTTCTCTCTCTATCTTTCTAATATTACTTACTACTCCTTGCTCATACTTTTTACTTTATTATTACAATAACTAATAAAACATAGAAATTTGTATTATTAACTTCAGAACTATAACTAAATATTTTAGATTATTTATTATATTATTAAATTGATTTAATATCGACACAGTAATAATTTGTACAACCATTAAATAATGAAAAGTATAAATAATTTAAATATAAATTATCTATATTTCTTTATCTACTTTACCTACTTTACCTTACTATAAAGGTAATTATGCTGGGACATACTAGAGTGATTTCACAGATGGAAATCGCGTTTTGTAACATTTTTCGCATAGTTTAGTTAATTTGTTTTTTTAAAATGTTTAACCATGTTTAAGTGTTTAAAAGCATTATTGAACCAATATATAGACGAATTCTTTTCTTGTTTTTTATGTGGTCGGTGGTTTTTACAGATGCAACATCAAGCACAACTTATGTGCATGAGTTTTCAACATTCAAAATTCATCTAGGGTGGCCTCACTCTATTAATTAATTAATTCAGTATGTCCACCGCTATATACTTTAGATGATGACATTGTAAAGAAATTGCGTAAAGTAAGTACTTATTTATTTGGATTTAGAAATGATTTCGAACTTTTAACAAAGTTTGAGAAACTTATGTATTTAAATAAACTTATGTTTAGATCAATAAACCTTTAAGTAATGCGGTAGCTACCGACGAAACATATTTTACGTAGTTTTAACATTCTTTTATACCTGCGACACTAATTATTATAGAGCAAACCTATACATTTTTATATGATAACCTATAGTACAGTAAGTACAAGTAAGTTTTAAAAGACAAGAATTGTTGCAATGGTGCCTGCAAATTGCTAATCTGTTTCCATCTGTTGTTAGCAAATTCAAAAACAACTTATAGGTAGTTTAGGTGTGTAATAAAATGCTATACTTATGGTAGTATGAATTATATATATTCCGAAGGACCAAAGGAACAATGTTGTGTTCTTAGAAATTATTCTTTTTTTATATTTTTGAATTCTGTGGACATTATTGTAAGTTAATATAGAGATATTTGTAAAATCTTTACAAGCCCAATAGTTTGTTTTTGGAATATTGGAAATATTTTAATATTAGAATAGGATACATAAGTACTTATTTTACTTTAAGGTACATCCTCAGCAAAGCGAACGCTTACGAACGAACGAATATTCGCAGATAATCGTACCTGCAACATTACTCATTTTCATCTTTAGAGGTCATTACTTAATAAATAAAAAATAAAAAAATATGTAGTACAGTTTATAACACTTTAAGGAAGTATGACAATTTAGTATATTCACTTTAAATGTGTATGTCACACATCAATCAATATATAATGAAGATCAAATTATTACTGCGTTAACATAAAAATTACTTAATTATATCTAATTTACTTTATGCGATTATTACGTTGTGTAAGCTTAAATCTACTATTAAATATTATTAATTGTTTATTGATATGATAAATTTTTTTATAATATTTTTAAAGTTAGATAAGTAAAAACAAAGTTTTAAACAATTTAGCACATTATTGTTCGTAATAAATAAAAAACTAGTTTTAATAAAAAGTAAAATACTTGCTTCTAAATTTTCTTTGCGCACCAAAAATCCTATACTAAAAATTTCGTAATTCATACATTTTCAATTTTCACAATTTAATTTTTAACATAATTCATGTATCACAGCTTTTTGCCAATAATTTAATACGTTACATTCAAAAAATATTACATAGCCAAAATAAATTTAACAAATACATTTTTTTCAAAAAAATTTCGAAGGAACATTTTACATTTTTTTATTTCAATTAAAATTAATTAATTTATAAGAAGCATTAAAATTATGATAATACTGAGTTGTAACAGAATCAGTCGTAAAAGTCTTATATGTGAATCCCTTGTTTCGAAAGTGGCGTAAGTTCGTTTGTAATCAAATAGAGTTGGTCTTTAAACTCTTAATGGAGAAATAATGGAGACAATGATTTCATTGATTCCAAAGTTTATTTTTACCACTCTCAAAGCGAACGACTCATATACAATAAATAAACATACATTAAATTATAAAACATTTAGTGTATATAAAAAAGTAAACAAGCATACAAAAATGGCACATAGAGTATAAATTAAAGTAAAAAATTAATATAAAAATTGTGCATATAAAATACATTTTAGTTAAATGAATTCTATAAAAATTAAATTTTATAATCAAACTTTTGATTGTTTTTCTGTTTTTCTGTTTTTAATAAGTAATTTTTAAAATTGTAAATTAACTCAACTTTTTAGTTGAAATTGCACACATAATTGGGTTTTTAAAACCACATCTAAAGAAGCTTTGAATTATTTTTTATTATTTTTTATATATATCGATAGAACTTTTGCGAGTATTTTTTTTTTGTTCTTTAAGGTTATTACAATGGTTCCAATTACATTAATAAGGAACGTTTTGAGATTCGTTGATGCAACTTAAACTAAAATTATTTCGATGAAAACCAATAAATGGAACGCTTGTAATAACCTTAAATTGACTTGATTATATATATATATATAGTATTTTTTTTTTCAAAAATGAGTATTCTTTTTTTGTGTAATTATTAATGATTATTATGTGTGAAATAGACTCATATTGTATTGTGTAAAATAATTTCAAAAACATGAAAGGTATAATTAAAAAAAAAAATAATAAACACCAATCCATTCTTCTGATCATAAGGATTAAATAATATTGATAAATGCATTTATATTGATTTTTCGTTTAATTAAGTTTTAATATAAATTAAATAATTAAATGCTTTTAAATTCAAAAGTATTTCAGCGAAAGTGTCACTGATGTTTCATTGTACACCCCAATTCCTCACAGTGTATTATTAGTCTGTCTCATAAAAAGCCTCCGTTTAATTTAGTCCTTTATGAAGGCAAATAAATGATAACATACAAAAACATTGCGGATGTTATTTTTTGCGTTTCTGATTCAAAAAGTGTATGATTTCTTGAATTGATTCAATATTGAATAAACATATCTTGAGTATTATTGAAAACAAAGTGCTTAAAAGATAGAAAAGCAGAATAGCATTAAGATTTTATATTTAAAACTGTTTTGGTTTAATTAATTATTCAGTTAATTAAATATTTCAAAAACTGATAGACTATAGAAAAATTTTATATGTATATAAATATTAGCACGAGGACCTATATTCCTTCGAACTGTAATTTTTCAAAGACTCAAAAGTGCTCTTTTAATGAAAAGATTGCTGAAAGTTAATATAAATATTGGAGGCTATAGTGTTAGATATATAGTTATAAAAAAGTCATTCAAAAATATAACAAATCATTTTTGATAATCTCTAATTTCTACAATTAACAATGCTAGTCAGTTGAAGTTATTGTTACCAAAGTAACAATCAAAAACAAACAGTAATATTTTAAATATAAAAGCATTTCACTTAATATATATTAAACATAATACGTTTTGCAAAAAAAAAATGTATTTTCATTTTATACAAATTAAATGAAAAATACTAAAAACCTGCTTTTGAATAAAAACGTATACCACATCAGCATTGAAAACATATTTTAGTTATAAGTACTAAATAAAAGTAATAATAAAAAAAATAGGAACAAATTATCTAAAGATGTGCACCTATAAAATTAAATTAAATTATTGTAACTTGGATATGATTGAGAGTCTATACGTAATACTTAAGGGGGGTCTACGAATTGTTATAGCACATTTAAAACGTAATAAGTAATAAGTAATAAAAATTAAAAAACAAAATAGTCTCATTAAAAATCATCAGACAGTCATCATTAATTGCTTAAGTTTTCAACCCTACTTTGTGAAATTGCTGCATTTGCAGCAACGCCCACACCTACATTATTACCTTGCAATACAACGCTGCCACCTTCACTTTCACTCTTCCATGATGACACTGGAATGTGCGGAGCAGGCAAACAATTACGCAATGTTTGCACGATTTGTATGGTGTCCATAAGTGCTATTATCAAATAATTTTTCAATGTCAATATTATTAATTACCAATGACAAATTGGAAGTACTCACTTTTTTGTAAGCTTTCGCTTTGTTTGCCATATGGTTTGCACATTGAAGGACGTATATAGGTTTTCATGCGTGCCATATTTCGCATTAGTTCTGCAAAAACTCGTACAATTTTATCTTGTCCTTGTGGCATAACATCTCGATTTGCATCTTGTGCTCCCCAAGCACCATTGTGCAGTGCCAACAGATCTTTGTTCGATTCAAGAGATTCTAAATTAGAGCTACACAGAAAAAACTTAAATATTTATTTTCAATTATTTATGTGCGTCATTTTATTTACCGTAAAGTTTCAATATTTTTCTGTGCTGCTGGTTCAACAACATGTGAGGAAGACGATGATGTACTGTGTACAGTGTGTGCTGTTGGAGACTGCGATGGTGGTGGTAATTGATGATGAGCTACATGATGATTTGCCATATTGCTAGTTACTCCACTTGGCACAACCGGTGGTGGTGGTGGTGGTGGAGCTACTGCAGTACTGGAAACTGTTGCTGCATTAACAACGCCTTGTGGTTGCATTAAGCCTTGCATTTGCAAATTAGCTGCTGCAGCTGCTACTGCCATTGGGTCAAAATGCTTAGGGTCCAATTGTTGTAACACACGTTGCTTTTCTAGTGCACTGAGACTATTAAACTTTTCCAAACTCTGTTGAGCCAGTGCACGGTTTTGTTGCTGTATAAGTGCAGCTGTGAGTTGTTGCTGTTGCTGCTGTTGTTGATGTTGTTGCTTAGCAGCAGCTTGCTGTTGTAATTGTTGTTGCTGTTGATGATGTGCAGCTGCTGCAGCGCTTAACTGCGACAGCTGAGATTGTATGCTATTCTGCTGCTGTTTCGTTAAGTGTTGCAACTGTGGTGGTACTTTCTGTTGTGCGTGGGAAGGAGTGGGTTTTGTCAGATCAACTTCTCCGCCACTTGAGCTACCAACGGAACTACTGCCGCTTGAACCAGCACCAACACCAGCTGCAGCTGCTGCATGTGGTGGTGGCAGATGCGGTAAATGTTGAAGAAAATCTGCTGGATTTACGCCCGGAAATTGTTGTTCCATAAATGGCAATGGAGAGAGACCTAAATGGTTTTTATAATAACGGCAAGCTGGGCTTGGGCAAGATTGTACAACTTCTATAATAAACTCTTTTTCCATTCCAAAATTCTCTCGGCCAATGGTGTAGGACTCAATAACTGCACGCACTGTAGCGTCTACGCTTAAATGTAAACCGTGAGGACCAGACATATGCTTTAGCATGACTGCATTGGCGAAGTGTTCAAATGGCAATACTATTTTACCATTCTCACGTAGTATCAAGCGACCCTGTGAATCAAGAGTTAAACGATTCGCTAAAACTCTGCAAATGAAATAAATCATTGGTAAAAAAAAATAATTATAGTAGAAATTTTTGATTACTTACTGCAAGTATGCTGCACTGGGTAACATTGCATTATCCTTCAGATCAGTGAAGCATTGCAATAACTCTGCGCTTGGATTCCAACCTTTATTTTGCAAATACAATTGTAATAGCATATAAAGCTTTTCTGTAACATAGCCAACACCAGGAATGCCAGTATTTCCTGGTTGCATCTCTGGTACTTGAGGACCTTTCGCCAGCGCCGCTTTCATTGTTTCCGAAAGATCTAACTTATAGTTTTCAGGATAAAAATTTTTCATATGATCCTAAAATTTAAAAATAATAATCGTGTTCTCAATAATGAAGAAATTAAAGATTTTACCAAATTATTCATTTTTCAAATAAAATAAATGAACTTTGCTGCTTTGCTTACATTAGTCTGGTAGTTACGCTCAGTAATAGGTCATCTCCTGGAATGTGTTGCGCATATTTGTATAGTAAAATTGCATTCACTTGCTGAAACTGCAATTAAAATAATCAATTTAGGATTTTATAGCCTACAGGTTTCTTGATAGGCGTGGCAGCAGGACGAGAGCTAATTAGCTAAGGTTTAATATATTCGCTTTGTATAATAATATTAACTTCGAATGAAAATATATATTCTTATTTATATATTTTCGATCACTTTCAAATATTTATTAACATATACAATAGAGAAAGGTGAAAAAAAAAATTATCCTGTCGTCTGCTTTGCCATGTCTAGTTGGAATACACACATTAGTAATATCTCTTATTTGATTATTTTGTATATATAAATGACAAACTTCCTCAAAGCTATTTTGTTAAAATGAATTCTACATTTTCATTATACTTATTAAATAATTTAAAATAACGCATAAAGTAGACACAAATATTTTCACACTTTAATTTGCAAATTTTTATTACCAGACAACAACAAACCCGATACATATGTGCACACCTTTTTACGTGGATGAAATGCTCACCAATTATGCACAGTAAAAATACCGTTTGTTGGCAACGCGAAAATGCAAGCTGTCAAAATCAACTGCACGTGTCAAAGTTTGTTTTCGTTTTTCAAGCTCAGAAGCGTAGTGCAGTGGTTTTTTGGCTTTTAACATAGAGCCAAAATTAAATTAATAGATATATTCTGAAAATAAATGTTATTCTGACATCCACGCAATAAATACTTTAAATACGCAACAATGAAGGTTAAAATGATAAGTCGGAATCCGGACCATTATGTTCGTGAAACCAAAAACCAAATTCACAAAAGTAATTGCAAAAATTTGTTTAAGTTTTCGTTTATTAATTAATTTTGTTTTTTAGTGCCTAGAAATTATGATCCTGACTTACATCCATTGCAACCAGTGAGAGAGTACGTGCGTGCACTGAATGCTACCAAGCTAGATCGTGTGTTTGCAAAGCCTTTTGTAGGAAATTTAAGCGGTCATCGTGATGGTGTCAATTGCTTTGCCAAACATCCCAAAATGCTGTCGAATTTAGTGTCAGGTGCTTACAATGGTGAAGTACATGTTTGGGATCTGGCAAACCGTGCAACTTTACGTAGTTTTGTTGCACATGAAGGATTTGTACGTGGCATTACTTACGGAAGTAATGGCGATCGATTTTTTACTGTAGGTGACGATAAAACTATAAAAGTATGGAAATCAAATGGACCGGAAATTGGAGAAGACGAAGAACCGATTAATACAATATTGAGTCGCACTATCATAACTGGGATTTCGCATCATCGTAAAAGTGCTACATTTGCAACTTGTGGAGAAGTGTGCACAATATGGGATGAAAATAGAAATGATCCATTAAAAACACTAAAATGGGGTGTAGACACATTACACGCTATTGCGTTTAATCCGGTTGAGACTTCAGTGTTGGCTTGCTGTGCCAGTGATCGTAGTATTATTTTCTATGATCAACGCGAATCAAATCCTTTGCGTAAAATGGTGTTAACAATGAAAAGTAATAAATTGGCGTGGAATCCAATGGAATCATTTAATTTTACTTTAGCCAATGAAGACTGCAAGTAAGTTTTATATCGATTGTAATACATACGAATCTCACAATTGTTATTGTTTTTAGTCTGTATACATTTGATACTCGACAGTTGAAATCCCCAATCAAAGTACATTTTGATCACGTTTCCGCTGTTACTGATGTTGATTATTCACCTACCGGCAAGGAGTTCGTTTCTGGAAGTTATGATAAAACAATACGTATATACAATTCACATCACAGTCACTCCCGTGACATTTATCACACTAAACGCATGCAGCACGTTGTTTGTGTCGCTTGGTCATTAGACAATCGCTACATTTACTCTGGATCAGATGAAATGAATATACGTATTTGGAAAGCTAAAGCATCAGAGAAACTAGGTGTCATACGTCCACGCGAACGTGCTGCATTCAATTATCAGGAAGCACTTAAAGCAAAATTCGCAGCGCATCCACAAATTAAACGCATTGCTCGACATCGTCAAGTACCAAAGCATATACTGAATGCACAACGCAAAATGCGCGCTATCAAAGATAAGGAAAAACAAAAGGAAGCCAATGTACGCAAGCATTCAAAACCCGGAACTGTGCCTTTTGTACCAGAGAAGAAGAAGCATGTTCTGCGCGAAGATGTTTAGATCTGTCAATGCACTATTTTTTTTTTGATACCTCTATACGAATAAATCCAATTAAATTAGTTATTCTAGTTACTAATAACTAAAATATTAATTATTTTAAATTGTTAACAATGCGTCTTTTATCATAAAATTTACGACATATTTATTATAATTGAAAACTAAGGGGCGGAATATCTATTGTTTACAAAAGCTTCGGAACGATGATATGTTTCTAATACCAGGTAGAGTGATGTCAAGTAGAGTGATTCGACTTTCTTACGAATGGTGAAATTCCGAAAGGGGTTCTTAGCTGCTTTTGGTCATTAGAAAATACATAATAATATAATATTTTTTCATAATCTTTTTCCTACTGAGAATAGATCAGTAATTCTGAATTTTTATCAGTCCCCGTAAAATAAACCAATAAAACATTTACACTCAGCTGTAATGTTTTTCAGAGATTGCATTTCGTAACTACATATAAGAAAGAGCAGCGTAGGCCGCCCTCCCGTCAAAACACTTTGAAAACAACGAAAAAGTTGCCGCTCTCAACTTGCCAGAGTATTTTATAGAACCGGTAGTATTTGTGGATGGAGAGGCGGAGGGAACTATTTCACTTGTTTTTATTTGTTAAGTACACGTGAAACTTGGTTGAACGACGTTAGTGCGAGTGGAGCAAGCATTCAAGTGAGTTGTGTTTTTGTGCGATGATTTTAGTCTTCAGTGAATCAAAGTTCATTTAAATAATTTTTTTTTTACACTCCGCATTTGTTCACGTAATTATAATTTAATTATTATTAAATTAAAAAATTGTGTAGATAATAAATGTTAGTCTGAAGTTCTGAACAATTAACTAAAGAAAATATGTGATAAATTTATTAACAAAAAACTAAACGCATTAAATTATATAAAATACATAAAAAAAAAATAAATAAAAAAAAAATCAATTCAATGAAAACTGAATGGTAAGCAAAAAATCGAAATCAAAACAATCTCAAGGCAGAAAAAAGTTTGAAAAGTCATTGGAAGCAGCAGCAAAAACGAGAGCAGTAGAAGGTCCGACGAAATAAAAGTCAGTGGGGGAAAGCGTTGAACTTGAACTTGCTATATTTAAAGTGAGCACGAGTGCGAGCAGGCACTGGCACTGGCACAGGCTGAGCGCAGTAATAATCCAAACAACAGTCCAACAACAATTGCCGTAGTAATAAATTCCAATCGAATTGCTTGAAAATGGATGCCCTTGGAGATATTTTGGCACCGCACAGCGAGACAATAGCGAAAATAGCCGGCACCATAACGACGTTGCAGTTTTTGTCCGGTATCGCATTTCTAAATAGCATACGAAAGAAGGGTAAAAGTGATGGATTTCCACCAGAGCCTTTTATTGGCGGTACTGTGCTGTAAGTATAATGAACACCTAGTCACTGGGTCATAGATGACCAACTAACAAAAGCACTCTATATTTTATCAGCATGATTTGCATTTTTGTTTAGTATCTTATCTAAAGTGGACGGAATGTATGTACATAGTTTTTAACCCTATATCTTAAGCTCTTTTAGATACGTGGCCCTATAATCTTACGAATTCGGTTATCGAAGAAGTCAATTATGTAAATTGTTATTGTTCGATGTGGTGTAGGTTAATCAGTTTTAGTGGAACCAATAATAACATTGAATAAAATCTGAATTCTACGTGCAGCCTACGCCAACCACTGATAAGAAATTCCCAAAGGAGATAATAAAATATTTAGATTATTGATTATATATTGCACATTACGAAATTCTAACTGATCAGTCGTCTTAGTTTTACACTATGGAAAGTCATTATTAGTGAATCATGTTGTTGTTTTAGTTATAGTAACTTAAATATGTAGTCAATTTTTTGAATCTCTATTGGGAGGATTGAACGACATTTGGTCGTCTAAAACGACAAATGGTTTCTGGACGTAGACTAAGCAATTTCAGAAATCATTGAATCGCGTTAAATAGATTTCTCCTATTCATTTATTGTTAAAACAACTAACTAAATACTATTTATATTGACACAATAAAAGATTGTTATGGCTTTTTCGTTACGGAGACCTCAGTAAACAATATTTCAACCAACCAATATTTCAACCTATTATGTTGTTGTTGTTGTAACCCGCTGGGACCTATAAGTAGATAACATGAAAGGATATAGAAGACAATTACATGGATAAGGACGTTAATGAGTAGTGATTAAGAGAGATGGAGGTAGGAATGAGGACCTACTACTACTACTAATAGGATTTGGATTGAGGTAAAATAAAATGCAGTAGGGAGTAGTTAATATATATACATACATATATGAAATTGAATATGACGAAATAGTGAGGAACCCTATCACAAGCCTCTTTTAACTTCCATTAAGAGTTTTATATTCTATTTAATACATACTTGTCACATTATTCATATTAATAACATTTTAATACGCAAGGCACTAAGAAATCGCAATTTGACAACATGATAATCTATATAATGAGGACTTCCTTTTTGATATGAAGTACACTTCTTTCAAAAGAAAGCACCTAGTAAATAAAAAGTACTTGCTTCATTTTGTGAGTCCTAGGATAGAAAATAACAAAGTTGGAACTTCTAGTAAAGCCAAGTATTGTGACCAAAGTAGTTCTTTTGGTATGAAACGTTCGGAAATTCAAGTATAAAAGTATTTTGAAGTATGGACTGTATGTGATTATGCTAGAATAGTATATAGTTATGCCACGGAGATGATTACCTAGTATGTAGGGTTCTTATTAGATTTTATAACCAAATCATATTCACATGTACAGCACATAAAATTTTAGTACGCAATTTAAAATTTATTCGTTTAATTTTGCAATTAATTTTTTTTTTATGAATCTAAGCTCGTCAATAGAAATATGCTAAATAACCTGTTACTTGTAATTTGAACAACCGAATAAAAATGCAACTTTAATTTAATTACAAATGAACAAGAATGCATTTCGCATTAGAAATTATTCGGTTTGGAATTTGTCTGGGAACAAATAAATGAATGTTGGCTTTTTTTCCTTCCGTTGATGGTCTTAAATCCAGTTACAAATTAGTAGCATTATGTGTTAGTACTTGCTAAACATGAATATCTGATTAAATCCGATATAAAATATCTAGTAAGAAAGGAATTCTATATGCTGTGCAACATTATACGAATATGAATATATATGACTGCCCATGTTAGCAACTTATATTTTTCTTAGTTGCTGATGGGAATAGCTCCTTATAATCTTCAAGAAGATAATAATAATGAATAATAATAGTAGTTTGTCCTGCAATAAGGGAGTAACCTTCGAGTAGAAATGTGGGTAATAGTGAGAGAATTTTCAAGTGAAAATTTAGTTTTTAATCAAGTGGATTTGTAGCGCTGACCAGACCTAAATATATATCATTATACAATATTATCATAATAAATTTTTTAATTTAGATTCAAATTGAAATAATCATGATTAAATATATTAACTTTTATTTTATACAGCACTATTCTGACTCTTAAACTTGGTGCTATTATGGATGATATACACATGATTCGAACCAATCTAATTGGTTTAGTACTTAATGGTGTGTTCATGTTCGTTTTTTACTGGTATGCATCCAAGGAGTTTAGAACAGATATTTGGAAGAAAATTGGAATAGCTACAGTCATTACAATGGGTTTTCTAGCTTATACAAACTTTGAAGATCCTGCGAAAGTTGAATTCCGTTTGAGTATGATAATAACCACAGTTTTGGTGTGGCTAGTTGGTTCACCACTGTTGCAAATCAATAAAATAATTGAGAAGAAAAGTACCGAAGGCATGCCATTTCCAATTATATTTACTGGTACATTGGTTGCTGCGTCTTGGACTTTGTACGGTATTTCGATTAGAAATACTGCGATGTCGGTAAGTAACAAAAACCATATATTTTTTCCATATATTCATAATGTTTTCTTTTAGTATCAAAACCTTTTATTGTTTGTACTGAGTGCCATACAATTATCTCTATTCGCCATTTATCCAAGTACGCCAAGCGAAGTTCCGTCTAAAACTGATGCCGCCACAAAACAAAAGAAACCAAATACTCCAAACAAAAAGAAGGATTAAAAATTTAACTTAAACACATAATTTAAACATCTATGCTTTTAAAAGTTAAAATTTTACTTATAGCCTAATACACTGATGCAAAGTAGTTAGACATTTTTATATAAGTAATCTATGCAATGCTATAAATATTATATTTCAACAATATCTGCAATTTTTGACAATAATTAAAATCTTCCAATCATATTTTTAATAAATAAATAGATATATTATTTAACTTAGTAAATGACTATTAAAAATTGTAATTGTAAAACAATGAATTTTAAGAGTAAAAACTAATATTTCTAATTGTACAAAATTTAATATTAAAATATAGTTAAAATAGGTATTCTATTTATAGTTAATTTAAAATTATACACAACCGCTATAAATTGTTACAAAATAAAAATACATTTTAAAAATGATGTATATTTATATAAATTACTATAGTTTTGTTACAAAGCCGCATATGTAGCTCTGTGGAGATGCACCGCCACATCATAACTAAAATTGAGAAATTTTATTTTATAAAAAATTGAATTTTTATTCATAAATTGAATTTATTACAACTTGCGTATTTATTTAAGCAGTATATGAAATGATTTTAAGGATACGTACGTTGATGAAACAAAGTTTCTTTTATAATTAAATTTTGACTTTTTTTTGGCATTGTCCACACCAATTGGAACACTTTGGATCATAAAAATAAAAAACTTTAGTTCTTGTATTTTAGGAGCCTTAAAAATTCGTAACAATTTTATTAAATATGTTTTAAATGCAGTATTTATTCATCATCCGTATGTTCTTCCAAAAGCAACGCCACCGTTGAGTTATAATGTTCGCCTAGACTATACATATGTCGGTGGTAAGTTATTGTTAACTTTGGACCTTTGAATTCGTTTCCCTGTACCGTATTTGAACCTTCAGCTTGAATAACTTCGATTGGTATTTCAAGTACAGATGACAGAGCCTTTAACTCAATATGACCACCCCAGGCAGGTGTGCTTTGCACAGACTTACAGTAGTGTTCGAATTGTTCATCGTCCAATAGATTTCCGGTATGTGGGTCAGTCATGAAGCATATAAGTGTATCCTTATTTTCACGTATGTATTTGGCAGTTTCTTCACGAAGTTCATCAACGGTAAAACCATGTAAATCATGCAAACCAAGTTGATGACGAATGGCATTGTATAGGCAGTCTCCATCTGATGGCACTTCAAAAATCATCAAATCCATTTCTTTCAGTTTTGCTACTAACTTTCGTTGCTCCACCGCTTTGGGTTCGTTTTTCGCGTCTTTGCTGGCAGCAAGTATATCCTCTTCTCGTTGACGTGCTTCGTTTGCTTTTTTATTCCGCCGTTTTTGAGCTTTAGAAATACGTTCTGGTTTTTCCTCATCTTCTGCATTTTCTTTATTGTCCACGAGCTCTTCAGTGTTGTGATTTTCATTAAGCAAAAGGATTTGATTTTGTTCTTGCAATATTTGCTGTGACAGCATCAACTCCTGCTGTTGTCGCTGTATTAAATGATTTTCCAATCGAGTGATTTCTTCCAATAATTCCTTACGTTTCTTTTTATCGTTTTTTGCACACTTTTTCATTTCTTGTATTTTAGCCTGTAGCTCTTTTTTTTCTCGGCGGTGTCTGGCAGCTAATTCATCAATTGATATTTCTTGCAATTTGTTAACCAAAGATTCGGTGGTAGTCGTCATTGTTTTTTTATATTGTATAATATAACAACTTTATTATAAAACGAACTGCGATTGTGTTGAAATTGTTAGTTTACAACATAAATTTATATATCTAATTTAATTTACAATAATTTTTATAAGCGGCTCCAATAAAAACTTTTGACAGCTGATGTACTGTATTGTGTTGGTTCTCAATAACCACTATTGTGAATTGCTGTTATTTTAAATGACAGTAGTTGCTTGCAATTTTAGAAATTGTTGAGAATATATAAAATTTTGAATATATTTTTTTTTTTATTTTAAGTTGATAGTAAAGGTGTTTACACAGTTATTAAAGTTCAATTTATATTTAATTGATATTATTATTATCTTAAAATTATTATTTTTTGAGCATTATCTGATTGCATAAAAAAAATATGTTCCAAATCATGTTATATTAACAATACTTATAATACCGAAAATCACAACAAGATTGTACTCATAAAGGGTCTGTTCCACGAGTTACTCGTAGTAACTTTGAGTAACACTGTGTATACACAAGTGCGTTCCATCAGCAAATTTTCGTGTATTATCCTGTAAATTTTATATTTTATTTGTGTTTTACTTGAGGTTTACTACGAGTAGCTCATCGAACAGACCTAATGTAATAGAGGAACAGATATAAAAGAATTGAATTTAAATTGAATTTGAATTTTAAAAATGACTATATTTCAGTATAAAACCTGCTTCACAATCGTAGAGTCACGCTCATAGCGCTCCTAATGCTCTTGTTCTGATATAGGATCATGGCGGCAGAGCCAAATAATATTCATAATAATAACAGACGTCCAAAATTTTTTTTAAACTCTCCGGATGTTGCTGACAAAGTCGTATACAAAGCATTAATTGAAGTGAGCAAAAATTTTGACCATATTGTTATGAGAGACAAAAGAGTTATGAAAGAGTATTTAGATATTTTTTGTTTGTTTCGATTCATCCAGTTACCAAACAAAGTCTTTATAATTATTTTTTATATTATTATGACGTGTTCAAAAGTACATATGTACGTATTTTCTCGACACATACAATCACTAATGCCAGAGTTATGGAGATTACCAAGCAAATTGGTTTAATAAATGATATCAGAAAGAGGAAATATGGTCTACTCTAAGAAAACACACGAGTAGTATAGTTCATTCAGCCTTAAAATGAAACCCGATTGAATTAAGAAAAAGAGGACATCTAAAGATAACATCGAGGCGAATAGTATTCAGAGAGACATCCAAATCATTTGACAAGCTTATATACATGGCATGTAATAGAGACAACTGCAAACTTTTTCAGAAAGACTAAGTTCTTAGATATGCTATCCATTTCTAATTGTAGTTGTATGTAACGTCTGTTTAGCTCCATTTAAATGATGTACTAATGACGAACAGATGATTTTTCAAAAATATATTAATCATTCTAAAAAATTTAGCATATATTATATATGTACAAGGTGTCAAGTAATTAATTAAGATTTAAAGGATAAGAAATGCATTTGAAAGGAAAGCGGGACAATTGTGTGAAAGTTTCCAAATTCAAAAAATTTGATTGTAAATAAAGTAGATTCTTGGGCTGACCACATAGCTGTTTAGTAGTCTTTAGAAATACTTAAATGATTTAGAACTGAGTTAAAGTTTAATCGTGGATTCACAATTAAACATACAAAGCCAAGTACACTAAATTTGTTTTATTGAAATTAGTATTTTGTCAATTTTTCTTGTTTTAAGTAATTAATATATACTTCATTGGTATACTGAAATCTTCAATGAAAAGGCATTAAGGTTCTTCAATTAAAACATTCTTCTATAGGGTTGTTGATAGCCAAACAGGGAACACTTAGTGTTAAATGTTTAACCTTATAGTAAATATAAGATGAAATAAAATAATAAATAAATTAATTACATAAAATATTTGTTAATCAATAATTGACATCCTTTAGGTTAGGTTAGGTTGACATTCAATTGACATCCTTAAAACTATCAACAAAATTAACTAATTATGTGATTTTAAACAAGTTCATCAATTCATACCTAATTGCGGAGTTGGCAAAGTACTAAAACCTTTGTTTTAGTTTCTCACAAGTGTTCATTAAATATTTTTCCAAATTTAATATTCCCAAAGAGTTGCTACTGTTAATCTAACCGAAAACAAATTCTACATATGGTTAAGTACGTACATCCCCTAATTTTCTTAGTGATATTGACATTTCAATACCAACACAAAGTGACACATTCCTACGTGACGTCTGACTTCAGTTTACTTAGCAAACATAAAAGCACAATTCGTCTTCGACAAAGACGAGATGAGGAAGGCAATTTAACCTCAAACTAAAAAAAAACGAATGAAGTTAAATACCTAAACTGAATGCTGCAGTACTGAACCACTTCAGGCTTTAATTTATGTGGATGGAAAGGGAAGGATCACACCAATGAACCAAGTCAAAGACGAGAAAATTAATATCTGAATAAAGTTCTGTGTAAATACGAAAATAAACGAAGTTATGTGGTTTTATTACTTACTCATTCATATGGACAAGTTTACTACAATTTAAAGTAGTTCTAAGGATTAAGAACAGATTTTTGTAATTTAATTTAAATACATTTTACATAATATTAATTCACTACATATTAAATAAAATTCTTTAGAAGATATTAGTACAAATACAGAAATTAACCCATAAAGTCACAGATTATTCAAAGAGTGACTGCTTTTAGATTAAATGTGGAGAGGGATTATTTTTTGCTTTTTTAAATTTATTTATATTTATATTTTTATATATCAAAAAAGTTATAGTAATTATTATTCAAGTCATGTGTTTTTATGATTTATGGTCAAAAACTGCCTACAACATCTGTGGCTCGAAAATGAAAATTATAAAATAAATTTAAAAAAATAATATTTTAAATGTTTCACTTCGGTAGTTGAAAATTCTGACAGATTGAATTGATATATTTTTTGCTGAAATTTATTCATATTATTTTTATATATACAATTATTTGCGATAAATTATTTTCATTACTTATTTTTTATATTACAAAAATCTATTGCGTTTCAATTCCGGGAATACCAACGAGTTAGTTATATTAAGTGTTGTAGTGCTGAGTCAGGTTGTAAAAAGTGTTTTAGTTTAATTTAGTTCAGGTATCGTTAATCCTGATGAGGGTCTAAACTCCGCCTTAATACAGCGTAATGTTTTCGAATAGAATCGACAAGGGTGCATTTTGTTCACTTTTACATATGATAATATCTTTAATAGGGCCCTTAAGAGATACTAAGAATTTTGCTGTTTAAATTGTTATTTGTAACTAACACTACCACTAAGGACGTACCAGAAAATTTTAGGAGATGGAATATAAACATGTAAATGGATTATACTATACCTTTATTTGAGGAAAATTACCTCAAATCTAAAGTCTGCAGGGTAAAATGTATCATAATAGATTGACTACGTAACTGTTACTTATGAAACGACATATATAGAGAGGTGTATAAGAGAATTAGTTTTAGATGAATCATTACGTTCTTATGTTCTACGAAGGGAAATAAATATAGATAGTTGGAACGATCTATATATAGAAGTGTATAAGAGAATTAGTTTTAGATGAATCATTACGTTCTTATGTCCGACGAAGGGAGATAAATGTAGATGGTTGGAACGATATATATATAGAAGTGTATAACAGAGATAGTTTTAGACGAATCATTACGTTCTTATGTCCGACGAAGGGATATAAATATAGACAGTTGTACTCGATTGGTATGTGGTTTCATGGCAAGGTTTTAGAATTAAAATACAGTATAGTCATGTTTACCTCTTCCCTTCTTACGTACTTCAATTCACATCATCACATTCCGTACTATTTCAATTTCATCTAATCACTCACTCATCCCATGCTTCATTTTATATATATTGTATTTATATTCTGTTTGCAAGGGGTAAGAGCTGATAAGGGAGCAAAAATCGTAGCAAGAGCAAATGAAACTCGGAAGGGAGAAACTTTTTTAAAATGTGGGTTTTTATTACAATTGTTTCTTTTTTAGTCATTGTGGGTAGTGTCATTAGAGTTAAGGTAAGGTCTTAGCAGATCCTCTTAGTAGAGGTGTTAAAGAGAGTAGCAGGCGATTGAAAACACTGCGCCCGTAAGTTCTATATGTATTTTATATATTTAAGTTTTGTAGAATGAAATATGGATAGAAGTTATAACTAATGAATGTATGAATCACTTCGAATGTATCCACTAATTATAATGAATTTGCTATTTTCGGTTTTTCACAAAACTTCAAACGGTTTTCAAAGGAGTGAGTCTGCTATCCTTTATCCTTGTGGTATTGTGTAGCTAAAGGTGCATAGTCATTTTATGTTAATTTATTTTAACAATTTTAGTTTTAATTAATTTTTGATTTTCGAATTAAATTTTGTTCTAATACAAAACTATGTTTTTGACAATTCCGTAGATGAAACGTTTTATTCTGCCAACCGAATTATTGAAATACCAAAAAAAAGGTATAAATATTTATTTAAATTTGTTAGTTTTTATTTTAATTAAAAATTTTTTGTGTGTAATTGTCGAATTCGAAATATTATTTATTTTGATATATAAAATAAACTTTTCAAATGAAAAAAAAAAAGAACAATTGCAAAATAGGTAAGAATGTAAGAGATCCTTATTGAAACTAGAAAGCATAATGGTTTATCGATCTATTCGTTTTTTAATAAGTTTTCTGAAAATATTTAAACTCATTAGTTGGATTTTTTACTTGATGGGGTCCATATTACCCCTCCGAAGAAGTTATGGTTTATGCCAATACACATACACATATTCACTGCTCTCAAAGGAATAAGAATGGGCGCTTAAATCTCGGCTGTGTTGAGAACTAAGCTGAGGCAATAATACATTTGAAGAATTCCATGAAAACTACAGATAACTACAGGTTCCTACTAAGTGTGGTAAATTCTTCAAATATCCAAAAAAATTATTTCGAACCCGTTTTACAATTTTTATCAATAAATTTGTATTTCAATTGTTAAAAAAGCAAACTTTTTCAATGATAATTTAATTTTTTATTACAGTTTACGATAAGCATTGTCCATAAAGAGTGTTATTTGCATATAACGACCCTTGGTCCTTTGTTTTCCAGTCATTTCGCCCTTATCTTTTGTTAATAATTCATTGTTTAGAATTAAAAAAAAGATGCTCTGATGGTTGT